TAATTTGTTTCCAATGATTGTGTGCTTGTTGTGCTCATAACATAGCCTATCAGAGCTTGCAGTGGGTGGAGTAAAAATAATTTTCAACTATTATTTAGAAGTTAAAATTCAACAATTGCATATGGAAAAGACTAATTTAGCCTACAGATTTTCAGAATGATTAAGTAAACTTAAAATACCATACTTAAAGAAACAATTATGAAGTTTTAGTTCAACCAGTGCATAGTTCCTTTGTGAATATTATACACTGTATTTCAACTTGATTAACACTTTAATAATGCCAGGAGGTTTTTTTTGTAGGACCATGTTTACGTGGTAAACAGCCGGCGGGTGGAACCCTCTTAACAAGATTTTGTCATTGCTTTTCAACTTTCGAGATTACTCATTCAAATTGTATACTCTTCGAGCTTGGGTTGTTGGGCTTACTTTTGTAAACATAAAAAGAAATAGCCTAATTTACGACCAGCAAATGAGGTGACCGAGGGGATTTAAATGATGGAAAAAAGGTAAATGGGGTTCAAAAACTTTCTTTGACTGTATGATTTTCCATACCTAAAATACACAAAGGCAGTATCCATTCATTGCCATAATAGAGGCACAAAGCTTGTCAACATTATTTGATGAAAATTCCCCTATGTTTTAACATTGAAGCCGTAGGTTCTGATGATGCCCCTCCGTCAAACCAGTTGTTAATCTAAAAATCAATAAACTTATGCCCTAATTCATTGTCATAACTTAAGCGGTGAGTTTTGAACACCTTAGACCCTATACCAGCAACTTCTGGTCACACAATAAGTTAGGCTATGGATGAAATTAATTCCATTTCCATGGTACCACCAATTCAAACCTTGCCAATCTGCACTAATTTAAGTTACTTAACTTCGTCCAGCTTGACTTATCCAAATGGATGTGAAAATTCCAATAAATCAACATTAAGTTAAGCCACCTTGTCCAAACCATATTTTGGAAGAGGGAAATTAAGTTAAGTCACTGAACTAAAATAGCCTAAACATAAAATTAAACTAGGCTACCGTAATTTAAATTAAAGGCCTTTTTTAAGTGTGTGTTTTAGGAAAATACTAAGTACCGGTACCGTAACATAAAGTCTAGCCTGTATTACCGGTACTTGACAACTGGGCAATTATTTAGTATAGGTGCCTCCAAAGGAATTTTCTATTTCGATACTTTTTAAGTTTTTTTACCTCCTGAATCCAAATATACCATTATTTGTCACAACAAATAAATACTATTGAATATATCACCGTTTAAAAATACAACTTTTGTATAAACAAAGTAGCAAGGATAAGATTTACAAGAGGAATGATCTGAGACTAATTCCATGTATAACTTAAACTTAGTTCTTATTTAGGAATGTCAAGGTGGTGGGTCGAGCTGTTAAACGTATTTGGGGGCTGTATTAAGTGTTTTGAAGTTAGGTTGGATTAGGAAGAGTAGGGTTTAGGTTATAATGAATCAAGTTGTTGGTTTAAGCTACCTAAAGACTGTTTTTATACAATTAAAACCCTGAAAAAACCCTTCAAAATAGCATTCATAATAGTGTTTTGGAGTGTTTTTATGGGTTTTGATTGTATAAAAACAGTCTTTAGGTAGCTTAAACCAACAACTTGATTCATTATAACCTAAACTTAAACTCTACCTTACCGGTACCTAATCCAACCTACCCTACCTTCAATGAATAAATACAGTCACAAATTCACATAACTTAAAGCCCGGCCGACCACCCTGACATGCCTTTTCTGACATCAAAAGGAGTTTGCTGACGTTCTAGAAGTTTGGTTCAAGGTTATGTTAGAACAGCAGCACCATTTTCTTACATAATCCCATTGTAGACAATTTACTATGAGGATTAACTTCTTATATTGTGATTCCACTCTAGTAAATGTTGCCTGTCTTATACCGCACCTTGTTTAAACATTGAAATACATTTCGACAGCTAGGATCTTACTTAATATTCAATTGCTGTGAAAAATAACTTGGTGGGCCTATGTATTCCAGTTATACTTAACTTTTAGATTCATGACGTAAAAAACTAAAATAAAGTTTAACATCAAAATTAAAAATTTGTTTGGGGACATCTAAGTTAGGCTACTAACTTAGGCCTAGGCCCTACTATAAATAATTACCGACAGCTGACTGGGAAACCAGGAGTTTTAAGAGAATTTTGTTGACTGGGAAAATGTCCATGAATCATGCAAGAAAAATTTGAAATTTTGGAATGATGGCTAAAAGCATTAGGCAAACGTCGATTCATCACACGACACTACGTTGATTCTATTTTAAGTTATAAGGTCATTGAGAGTACGAACACAACCACAGGAGATAATTAGGTAGCCTATCCATGTAACTTAGGCTAAGTTAGGCCTAGGCTTGACTTAATATTTGTTAAGTTAATTTAGAACTAAGTTAAAGTGAACCAACACTAACTTAAGTAACTCAAATTGTGAGACTAACCTCAGTCTTCTCTTTCCGTTTGGGATTCTTCTTTGCCCGTCCATTGGCAGTAGGTCCCAGCCTCTTCACTCCTCTTCTCGCAACACCTCCTCTCCCTCTAACAAAGGGCTGGCCTGGATGCATTGGTGGAGGTCTTCTGAGTGGTGGCATGGGGGCCATTGGCAAAGGTGGCATTCTAACACCAGGTCTATGAAGCATCGGAGGTGGAGGGAGTGGTCTTCTACCCATGGGAGGAGGTAAATCTCTGGGAGGAAGAGGGGGACGATGTGGTAGAGGTAATCTTCTTGGAGGTAGGCCTAGTGGAGGTGGAAGGCCTAGGCCAGGTGGAGGTGGTGGAGCTGGACCCATTCTGGGAGGTGGCAATCTAGGTGGACCTGGCCTTACTGGATGTCCTCTAAATGGTCTACCTCTATGCATTCCAAATGGAGGCATGATAGGTTCAGGTCTCATATGCATAGGCATCGGTCTCCCCATTCCTCTGCCTGGTGGCCCTGGTCTCGGCATACCTCTTAACCTTACCATGTCAGAAGCTCGTGCCTTAGCCTAACTATCCGAGGAAACAAATACCTTAACAATAGTTTGTATATTTAAATATGTAAAATTAATATTAAAATACACAGAAACAAATTTTATGCTTGAGAACACAACGAATCTCACACTTCACAATAACTGATCAAATAAATATAAAACAATGGTGAAGCATTACATTTATTTACTAAAGGTTAACAAGATGGCGTCGTTGACTGTCGTTGTCGTTCGTCGTGCCAAGCCAAGCCAATGCCAAATAAATTAGATGCCTAGTTATTCACACTACTTTCTTGCCATCTTTTCCTTTGAGCATAGATTAAACATACTCTTGTGAGTCTTGATCTCAGTGTCTACGATAGAGGTGTATAGTCAATGCTACGATCTAATCTTATTGGGCTTGGGCTACAGTTATGACCACCTTTGGTCATAACTGTAGGTAATATAAATTGAAAATGTATTTCAGTACATGTAAAATGGAGTCAATATTTTCTGTTCCAGTAACCAAGCTTTCGCATTCGTAAATACGCATAAGCTGCCACCGCATTTAGCTGCTAGCTAGTTACATCGATCTCTAATTATTACAACAATAGAGATCGATGGCTAGTTATAGCCTCCAAACAAAAACAGCTGTAACAGCACTAATTACAGTGCTGTTAATTCACTAGGTTAAGAATGTTGACTCAATTCAATGTACAATTAAAGATATTGATGAAAGGGTCAAAATCCATTACGTGCCAGCAACTCTATTTTTTCCTCAATTACACGTCTATAACTTATTGAAACCTTTTATAGGTAATAAATAATGAAAAATATAAAATTCAGAAAATGCTTTTGATAAAACGCTTTCTAGATTTGGAGAATACACACAAAATAGTAGGATAACTACTGCAAATTTTAAGCTTCGAGAAGTTTTTGGTTGGTTGGGTTAAGATTACACTGTTCCAACCAAACTTCACAGATAAGATAAGACCTTAAACAATGCCTTCGTAAATGCATGGAAATGATTCCATTTCACAAAGTACTCTGTCATTGAAAGCTACGTTTTTTACACTTTAATTTTCATATTAACAAGTTTTATGGAGTTGTGGGCACGTAACGGATAATACCACTTCAAAGGTCGCCGCGGTAGAATTGGCAACGTCGCAATGATGTTTAGCACCATTCGTGCACCTCCTATAAGCTAACAAATATAGACCGATTATACAATTAATTCATCGTTCAGTAATGTACACAATTACAATGGATTTCGTCAAAAAAGAATATATGCAAAGGCTAATTTTTAAAATCTAGATCATTGTTTATGAATTTAACAAAAAAAATATATATCGTACTCGGACATTGGATCGATTTTAAGCCACTACAGTTTGTTAGAAAATACATTTAAAGGCAAAGAGCTGAAATCAATCAACAGGAAGCTCATTATTAAATATTTTAAGACCCAAGTACGTATGATAATTTTGAGTTCTTGACAGCCTTACTCTATCTAAATCGAATGTACCTCCATTTCTTGTTTGGCAGTTATGGATACTACAGTAACTCTAATTATATAGGCCTAGTTGTGGTATTTTTTATATCGAAAATAGACACTTCATTTATGTACTAATTACTGTTAATATGGTAGACAGTGTTAAACAACACTACTGACAGTGTCACCACTTCAAACGCCAAGCTCTTCACGAGACTAAAGGTATTAAATTATATGATATCTGAGCACGGCCACCTTTAACTCCAGCCCGCGGCCGTGAGACAGGAAGCTTTCTTAAGGGGACGTCTGTCACTAAACAACTCTACTTGCGACGTAACAAATTCAACAAAGTCACATTATTTTCCTTCCACCATGGCCACGGTCTATAGTTAAAAGTGGTCGTGCATCTGAGGTTTGTTCATTGGTTTTGGTCTCTTCTTTGACCTGTGTTTAGACAGAGCTACTGGACTGCTGAGGTCTTTGTCTTTGTTTCTGAATTTTTTTTTGTTAACCAGAGACCAGCCGAAATCAGACCCAGCCGTGGAGGCGTGACAGCTAATGGTTGAATGGTTCTTATGGTTGTGAATATTTATGTAAAGTGTCAAGTCAATGTAGTCAAACTCATCGAAGTCATCTAACTACGATGGAAGAATCAAAACAAAATGTTTTACCTGAATTCAGCCTGCTGTTATTCCTGCAAAGTGTAAGAATTTTAACTTAGGATTTTTTTGATTATAAATTGCTTTGTAACAAAATAATTGTTGAATTCAAAAGGCTAGGTTAAATTAGTTGTAAAAATACAATTTCATAAGTCCTATGTTCATTTGGGGTTGATAGGGCCTATGTTGAATAAAATCTGGGCTTTAAGAAGTATTCGAGGGTTATTTGTGTAAGTTAATGTAAGTTATTTGTGTCAAAATAATATAGGGATCGATACCTAACTATATAGTCGTCATTAATATACAAACAATACACAATGTTAAATAGTAACTTTGATTTATGATTTAATAATATATGTTTTTAAAACATTAACAATCTTGTACCCTAGGCTGCAATGACGATTTGTCAATATCCTTGTCATATCCTTTGATCATAGGCTATTCTTATCTCAATCTTAGGTCTAAGTAGGCCTTAATCCTCAATGATTTTAAACCAAGTAAAAACTTTGGACCTATTTTTGCCATTTTGCTTTAAATCATTATCATCCCCTGTTGTGATGAGTTAGACAAAACTTGACACATGCTCCATTATCGATTGTTTCAATCAGTAGCCTATACAAAGTTTGGTATGTTGTTTTGCTAAGTTAGGGCCCTATTGATTAATTTGATACTTTTATGTTCAATATTAAAGGACAATGTAGTCGGAAGTCAGATATATTAAAGTTTCGCCATAAATATTATAATTTATCTTCAAGCTTTTTATTTTTTTTCATAGGGGATGTGTAGCCTATGGTTTATCTGAGTGCCTCCTCACTACGTTTGCAGCCTGGCTGCCCGGAGCATGAACTAAGAGTCTTTTGCTGGATCTCTCTCATTATTAAATTTATTCTCCAGTATAGGCCAATTCAATTCAAAATATCTTTATTGATTCAACAATACAACAAAATAACAATTGACAAATAATATAGGCTACATTAGATAGAACACAAGACATAGTTAAAACCAATACAAATTGAGACTGAATAGTTACTAGTTAGGTTCCTCATTTTCTCGTGTTGAGAAACTATAACAATCTAAAAGAGGTACTGGAGAACAAAAACAAATAATAAATTATGCTATGAATAAAAATAAAACATAAATAATGGCAAATTTGAATTCAAACAATTTAAGTATATACAACAATTTATAATATAATCAATTAATTAAGACAGATCTGACGTTTTCTTCCTGAAAACATTGATGTTCTCACAACGTATTGGTACATTGATGGTTGACCTGTCGATGCTCATCCCTACTTCATACCAATGGGATAGTTTTAGAAGAAATTAATATATGGTTGGTAGCTTATTAATATATGGAATACTTGAACAGAACTGGTAGCCTATAGCCCCTGCCCCCCCCCCCCTCGCAAGTTTGTTTGCCCCCTCACCCGATAATCTTTAAAAACATGTTCACATGTATTACCACCTAAACTTGCATTTTTGCATTAAACTTGACAAGGCATCTCCCAGGGTCCCGAAGCGTCATCATCGTTTTCCATGATCGAGAATCCCGGTCAAGGCTCACGGGTCCCCCTAGTTGCTGGCCCGAATCCTATAGGGTACTAATATCATTAACATATGATTTTGACAATTCCATTTTAGCAATGTTAAATAATGTTTATTTTTGGGCCAGTAACATCATTTGTGATGTGGAAAGCGAATAAGGACCTCTTGTCGGGAATGTTCGATTTTGAGTTATATACATATTTGAATTCCTTATTTAATTCTGAATCACTTGGTGCAAGTCCCATGCACCTGCCATTCTTAGCGAATTTCCCATATAGGGAATAAGCTATTACCGTAGTACTCATGGTAAGACCTGGACGCGGGACCGATTTTTTTTTCGTTTTTAGGTCCCTAGAGGCCAAAAACACCATCTGTTCAAATTCATATATATATATATATTTATATATTTATATATAGGCATGTGTCCGTCAACACGATAACTCGAGCAAAAATGATCCGATTTTGATGAAATTTGGTACAAACGTGTAAACCTACGTTTATTCGAATGAGTTCGCGATCCAGCATGATCAAACCATGGGAACGGGGGTTTACGGGGGGTTTTATGGGGTAAAAATAGGGTTTTCCCATTTTTGACCCAAAAACATAAAATTTAGCAATTTCTTTCCAAACCATTTTGTAGAGCTTAAAAAAACAAATAATTTAGTATATTGAAGCGTTATTATGCGCCTAATGGTTACGGAGAAAATTCCAAAAAATTTTAAATTTAAAATTCCCATGTTATTCTTATGGAGAATAAGTAAACTGTTGTAGTTTGCTTGTTTATGAACATATTTTGATCAAATTTGGAAAATGTTTTTTTTCTTACTATTGAAATTAAAAAAAAAACTGTTTTACCCTCCCTGATGCAGCAAACCTAAGTACTTGTTAAACTAATTCTATTTAAATAGGGAATAAATGTTATATTTTTAAGTAGACATTTCAGTGTAAATCCAATCAGTCAAATGGAAATTCGCTTAGTCTGCAGGTTTGCTGCGGCGGGGTTATTTTTGTTAAAGTTATTGGACTTTGAAATTTTGTTATTGAGAAGGGTCATTTTGAGAAAAACACTTTTTAACATTTCAAGTACGCATTAAAACAGTTTTTTTTTGTATTTAAGAAGAGATTTTGGTATCAAAAGAAAGCTTATAATATCCCCTTTGGAGGCAAAACCAATTTTTGTCTTAACTCTCGGTAGTTTTCATTTAAATAATTGTTTTATAGAAGCATGTCGTAAAAATCGCATTTCAGAAAAGGGACCTCTTGTCGGCCCTATGATATTTCTCCATAAGATAAGAAAAGGTACCTCTTGTCGGGACTGCAAAATTTGTGAGATATTTTGTTCTCCGTACACTGAACTTTGTTGTAGTTCTCTAAGTTTCCTCTGGAATGCAGGACAATTCATTTTTTGGACTAAAAGCTGTTAATAAAGTGAATATTAGAAATGGGACCTCTTGTCGTTATGGCGAAATAACATTGAGCGACAAGAGGTACCTTTTCTCAGACCGTGCAGAGGCTAACAAAATTATTTATTTCGACCTTTTATGTCTTCAATTCGACATTTTAACCAATACTGTCCTGTTCTATGATAAATGAGGTATAACAATCGATAAAAACCCGAATTTCGATATTTTCGACCTTAATTACTTAGGCCTATATCGGCCGTACTGAAAATTTTGTATCGCCGACAAGAGGTCCCTTTTCGCTTTCCACATCACATTTATGTTTATAATCCATACCGAGGTCTGTTTAAGTATTTGTAGTTTGTAGTGTTTATGATATTTTAAAAATTAACACATTAGGAAAAAATTGAACAATTTATCATTTAAAAAAATATAAATTTTAATTGTACATTGCTCTTAATTGTACATTGCTCTTAGTATTTTTAAGTCAAGCTTTAATGTTTCAGATTGAATGGCGAGACCCTTGGTTAATAGGTTTAGTCATGTTCCACATCACTATCACCGTTATGGCCATCCTTACCAGGAATCACAGCAACTTCCAAGTTGTCCTATTTCTGATGTTATGTAAGTTTCGGAATTTTAGTTTATATTTAAAACTCAAAATAATTATAAAAATCAAGGATGGAGATTTTTAGCTGTTTGGAAATTATTCTTCAATATTTCCTTCATAACATTTTTGTGATTTTGTGTTTATAAGCAATACCAAATTTATAGTTGTCATGAGATTATTTTTTTCCAATCAGACACTGTATTTGAACATTGTCTTATTAGGGAGACTATGGTTTTGGCTGCAATGGCTTTATTCAGCTATGTAACATGCTAATTTGCTATGGATATAAATATGAAAATAAAGTTTAGTCTAGGTAAAATTTGATAAAATTGTTAATCCAAACTTATGCATTATATGTCTTATAATTTTTGGGTCTAGTCTTTACTAAAGCCACACCCAATTTTTCCACTCTAATGCTAGAAACTCACAAGATAGTGCTATTCATATTCAGTCACTGCTCGTTAGCTAATTGTGGTAAAATTGTTAATCCAAACTTATGCATTATATGTCTTATAATTTTTGGGTCTAGTCTTTACTAAAGCCACACCCAATTTTTCCACTCTAATGCTAGAAACTCACAAGATAGTGCTATTCATATTCAGTCACTGCTCGTTAGCTAATTGTGTATAGGCCCTAACTGTATCTTTTGTGAGTGGTCTAAATTTTAAAATTTTATTGGAGAGTACTCACTATTGATGCGTGATGAGTCCAGTATGTTTCCGACTTGATTGACTCACCTTGCAAGCTGCCGCTTACTCGAGTTACGAATTGAGTCAGGCTCGACTTGGATCCGTCAGCTGGTTCTGAGTTTGTGTGTGTTCTTCTTCTCTGTGATTGTTCGTAGTTTAACAAGCTGCAAGTTGAGTCAGACCCAACTTTAATAAAATAAGTCTTGTGTCATTTTGGTTCTTGATATTGGCCAAAAGTGTACAGTAGTACAGTTTTGTGAGTCGGACTAGCTTTTTTTCAATAACGGTTCAGGTTTGCGAGTCAAGTTAGCTGTAGTCTAGAGTTCAGATAACTTCAGACGTTCTTTGCGTGAGCTCTTTAGATTGTAGATTGTAGATTGTTGTAGATTGTACATTTCTGCTTCCTTCAGATTTACTAGTCAGATTTTACTCGTAATAGGCTTCTTCACTCGAGTTGAAAACAAACTGACTTGAGTCCGTAGCCTACTCAACTTAATAACTCGACTTGTCACGTCACTAGTGCTCTCAACTTATCAGACTGGCGTAGTGATAGACCTAACAAATCGTGTAAGGACAAGGTTATACGTAATGTAAATTAAATTGAATATAATAATGTTAAAACTTAAAAAATTGTATTATAAAATGTATATTGCAAAAGATGTTATCATTGCTTCTAAATATTCAATGGGAAAAACAAGAATAAATACCTCTACGTTTTTACTATTTACAAAATGCAGGACCAACATAGAACATTTTAATACAAAAATAATCAAAAAAAAAAAAGGTTAAAAGGTCTGATTTACTTAGGAATTCCGTTACGTTGAGGGTTTTTGTTTAGGAATTCCTATATTAGGTTACCGGTAATAAAGATCACTTTAAGAAAACAATAATAATAATTCAAAAAAAGGTTTAAATTACCTGCATCCGTCAAGTGATCCTAGATTGTATTTTGTTGACTACAACTGTTTAGTGTTTTTAAACACATCTTCAGGTCACACCTTCTACCGGCGCCGCGCACGTCCGATGTCTTTTTTATACTTCACGTTTTTTATATTTGTGTTTTGGCCAATTAATGTTTAATGTTTTGTGTACGTGTTATTTGTGAACTTTCAACCTCTTGATGACCGTTCCATGGAATAAATCAATGTAACATTTGACCTGAAGATGTGTTTATGAATACGAAACTGCTGTAGTCAACCAACTACAATCTAGGATCGCTTGACAGATACAGGTAATTTAAACTTTTTGTTCAAAAATCTGTGATCCAGAGGCTATACCATGAAAATAAAACAATAATGACTGGTATTTAAAAGTCAATTTACAAGTAAATTTTTTAAGACTTGCACTAATAACATTATAATATTGTTTTCAGTGCTGCTGGTGTACTTCTCAGAAAATATTAATGAAGTGGCTTCAAATCATTGGAGGTAACTAACTATAAATCAATGTTGCGATTTTCTTTATTATCTTAATAGCTGAATTTATCTATACTTAACTTATCTTGAGTGTGAGAGTGAATTAAGTACAAATAATTGTACCCGGGTGATTGCATGAACAATAGCACAATTTGTTATCAGGAGCACTCCATAATGCTCCATGGAATAATGCATGGAAGCATAATGCTTGGGCAATATTATTTTGAGATTAAATTTTAATAACACTTTTATACAGGGTGTTTTTTATGCAACCTAAATGAAAAGTTCTGTGTGACACGGTTTAGTGACAAAACTAGCTTAAATGTTGGCACCCCTGTTTAATTCAATTCATCACTAATCTGCTGATATGCATTGTTGCATAATTATCCATGAGGTTTAGTGTTGCAGTAAACCCCCTCTTAACGGGCTTCACATTAACCAATCTGCCCTCACTTGTAAAATATTACAGTTTGTTTTAACCGACCTTGCCCATCGATGGGAACAGTACGCTCAAATCTACAGGATGTTACTATAAATAAACATCCTGTCTCTTAAAGAAATTGATGCTTGTATCTTTAATTTCTACAACACGTTCTGTACTGTTTTACGATAGAATTTGAAAGCATGAATTAATATTACTAAAGGTATTAAAATAAGTATTTTTATCAAAATAAGGGGTTTATTTGTGAATTTGCTACTATCAATACAATAGAAAAAAGGAGAAGAGTGCAGATTATTTTGTAAATAAAGCACACACGACTTCAGAATAATGATTATAAAATGTATAGCACTTAATTGTTTTAAGTTTTTAGGGGTTGCCCATTTTAACTGACCTTTTGATTATCCGACCTATGTCTGGTCCCAGGAAGGACGGTTATGAGGGTGTGTACTGTATCGGGACTTTATTACAAAAGACTCAACGCAATGTTTTTGCTAGCTCACATAGAGTATGGTTTGTAGGCTAGGTCTAAGTTTTTTGTTTTTCACAAATCTAGTTTCTGAGCATTTTTGAAAAGTCTATAATGGAGGTATTGTTACTGGAACCACACCTAGAAATTTAATATGAAACCTTTCTTGTTGATATCTTTTTTTAAACCTCTTTTTCAGTAACCCCCAATATGAAAGTACATTTATGAAGATTTCTTGTTAAATGTTAAACTCATTATATTTCTGTTTTGTTTCAGAACATTTTCTAGACAGCAATACTTTGACAATAAAGGACTATTTATTTCACTGGTCTTTTCAGTTCCTATACTTTTGAACTGCATGCTCATGGTTGTAAGTATGAATTCATAAAATTCTTAATTGTTTTTTACACACCCATTGCAGTTATGCTGGTGATGCAGTGGCGTAGCGACATTGAATAACTTGAGATTGAGTGGTGCGGTTTCTCCAGAGCGGTAGGCTCTGGGGTCGGCACATCTCAAGAAAATAACATTGTCTTTGTTCCAAATGTTGGATATGTTTACACTTTATATATCTATATATATAAAAGTTTAGCGATTTGATGAACATATAATATTTATGAGCAATTAAAGCAGTTATGAAACGAAGTGTCAATATTCTTAGGCTGCTGGAATTTTCTCGGCCAACTATTGGTTTTTGACATCCCGGGTGTTCACACATCTAGGCCCCTATCCCTGTGGGATGTAATATTTTTTCCATTTTCACCCCCCTGCAGGTCTTTTATGTATTTCAAAATCATCAAACTAGAATTGCAATAGTATTCTTTGAAGATTCAATTTCTTGAGTCAGTTGATCTAAAGATGGCAGGAACTAACTCCTATGTAACTTGTAATTTAATGTAAAATTAGGTGTTGTTAAAATTGGTTGTATTTTTTATGCTGATCAACATTACGTGTGGAATGAGTAGATAAGCAGTATTAACATCAGTTATCATAAATTTTGAGTAGTGGGCATTTATTATGACATTACCATGTCTATAATCCGTGTTCATGGCACTATTGTGATCATATTTCCCAATAGTGCAGGAATTTTGGTCTCCCACAATTGTGAGGGCTTCATCATCAACCTCCGTGATCTCAGAAAAATCTTGAACATCCCCCACATAGCGAAGACATCATTGTTGTATCCAATTATCGTGAAAAAGTGTTAACCATCTAAAGCGATCCAAAGACATCACTATTGTCTGCTGCAATTGTGGCAAAACCTTGAACATGCCCCACTATGGTAAATACATCATCTTCGTATCCCAAGATCGCTGCAAAATTGAGAGCATCTTCCCTTATTGCGAAGAGATGATCTACTCCAGTTGTAGTCAAATCTTGAACATCTGCCGTGATTGCGGCAAAATCATTACATTAACGTCTCACGCGATCAGGGAAACATGATCGTGTCTTGTGATTGCAGTGAAATGATTGCATAACATCCGACAAACCAAAACTGATTATCCATCAATCCTCGGTTTCAGTCTTGATGAAAACCAGTAAACCAACAATCGGCTTTAAATCGGCTGAAAACTGACTCGACTCTTTAACAAGGTATTTATGTATACAACTGGGTGATACATAAATAGTTTGTGGGGAGGGGGGGGGGGGGCTTGGGGTGTTTACTGCTTCAGGGTGCTCCAGACCTGGCTACGCCACTGTCGTGATAGTAGTTGTCACTGAATACCTGTGACCATTTTGCTGATAAATTACTTTATTACGTATTTATTATAATCATGTCTAATAACAGCAATTGTATGGAAATCAGAAGTGAATCAGAGCACTTAGTTCTATAAAACCTTGACAGGTAGCAGCATAATGTGCTATTTGTATGCTTGTTAAGAACTATAGTCCGTTCATAAAATTTAGGCGGTTAAGGGGAAGACTTCCTGGTTTTTTTTTGCTTGATATATACATCAGCTGATCAGCTTTGGCGTTTTATAATTAGGTTGAAGTGGAGGGGATGGAAGCACTTTCCCGCAAACCACATACATTTTGTGAATGGAATATAGTTTGATAAATGGTATCTAGACTTCATTTAGTAAATTTAAAATGTATTTGATAAATAGTCAGAGTAGTCAACTATTTAAAGTGCTTGCAGTCTTCAGATTCAAAGAATTCAATTTCATATAGTCATTGTAGTGTGTCAGTAGTTCCAGTGAATGCCCTGAAAAAATTTGTCTGCAACTAGACCAAAACGTCAGTTCTCGGTATGGATTAAATAGCATATTAAATCATTTTCAGAACATAGATAAGCACACTCCCTTAGTAGATTAGTCATCCTTATGGATCAGCTGAAGACAATGTTCCATCTCGTGCTGTTGGGGAAGTGTTTTTGTTTGCAATTTGTTTCTTATTGATTCAGTTATGTAAAACATGGTTTAACAAAAAAATAAAACAATCTAATCATAAAATTAACCCTAATTTTCTCGACACTAGCCCTCAGTGTCACCAACATGAACTAGATATGAAAAACAAGCTTTAGATTTTACAATGGGTTGAGAAATCTACTGTATGTGGTAAGAAGTTTCCATCTGACACAGTTGTAATCAAAAGACCTTGTTTGCTACTAAAACCTTCTACTTCCAGCCACTACTAACAAAAAGGTTAACTGTGAAATCTGGCTTATTCTTCAGAATAATTTCATATGCTCTTCTTAAGTAGGCCTTCGCGGCCAGTGTCATGAGAGTTCATGGTGGTGTTTTTTTGGTGTCAACTGTGTTGCCACCTAGGATGCCACTTCACAGAAACGGCGAATCGTCTGGCAACAGTCTATTAGTGACACAGTTGACGTTATAAAACAAAAAGCACCACCGTGAACTCTCATGACTTTATATTATGTGTTCCACTTCAATTTGATACTTTTTTTTAGGTCTACTGTATTTACAAAAATTTATAAATAAAAATACTTTTTAAAAATAACATGTTTTTAAACGCACTAAAAAGTATAAAATAATTTATAAAATGTTAAGAGAATAAATACTTGTAAGATTTAAAATGAAAAACGTGGGGCGCATGCTGATTTACAATTAACTTCACCTATTGAACTATTATGATCTATCATCTATTGCATGCGTCCCACGTTTTTCGTTTTAAATCTTACAAGTATTTATTCTCTCAACATTTTATAAATTATTTTTTACTTTTTAGTGCGTTTAAAAAAGTGTTATTTTTAAAAAGTATTTTTATTTATAAATTATTATCTAGTTTTTAGTCTTTAATGTGTAAATATGTTAAATCTATTTTATATAGCCTCTTAATGCATAACCAAAACCTAAAACCTTATTATCTGTAATCAGATGTTTTATCTTTACTTTGAAATGATTGTTTTATATTTTTAGAATATCTCGGGAGCAGAACCTGTACCTCTTAACCTCTGCTCTTCTAACTGTCAAATTTAAGTATTTACAGCTGACTTAAATTAATTTATATGTTTACATTCTTTTAAAATGTAAACATGGAAAATTTGGAAGCCAAAGGGGCGTAGCCCAAGGGAAATATGAAAATTAAATTATATAATATTGCATTGTCATCCATTTGTGAGCTATGTTTCAAGTTTCAAGCCTCTAGCTCATCGGAAACTTCGTTTAGAATTGATATCAAAATTTGTAGGAAAGCGAGCTAATAAAAACAAGCCCTTGGGCCGTAGTCCAATGGAAATATGAAAATTAAATGATATAATATTGCATTGTCATCCATTTATGAGCTATGTTTCAAATTTCAAGTCTTTAGCTCATCGGGAAGTATCACAATTTGCAAGAAAGCGATTTAATAAAAACAAGCCCATGGGGCGTAGCCCAAGGGAAATATGAAAATTAAATGATATAACATTGCATTGTCTTCCATTTGAGAGCCATGTTTCAAGTTTCAAGTCTCTAGCTCGTCGGGAAGTAAGTATAAAATTGATTTCAAAATTTGTACCGGACAAGAAAGCGAGCTAATAAAAACGTTTTAAAATTGAATGAAACTGAGTTTGATTTTGACATGTGTTTACAGAGCAGCTGGTTGTATCAGTCCAGTCAGCTGATGACACAGTTGAAGCAGGCTCAGTTGCGCCAACATCAGCGAAGAATAACACCAACAAACAACTCTGCAGACGACGCTCGGCTCAAGTCTGACTAACCTCACTCTCAGTGCCTGTCAATCTTGCCGTAAACGTCACGAATTGTTAAACTGATTTCAATCACAAATTTGATGCCTCGATTGAAAACAGTCATTTGTTACTGTATCTTTGTAAACGTAGATGTGTTTATACTCGAAAGGTAGGTAGTGAATTGTGTCGATTTTGTGAATTTTTACCGACTGGAGTTTTTATAATGTTTTGCATCGTAGAAATGTTAGTCATTTAAAGACTGGTTTTGTCTGTAATAAACTTTGATGTTTACTTACTGTAACTTTTAAAATTCTGGTTTTGACTAGTTTTTAAATTTGTTCTAAATTAGTTTTAAAATCTGTTAATGACCAAAACATCCTTGATCGCTAATAGACATGGTTTGGAGTAAAGAGTTGGACATGGAAGTCTGATCCAAAGGTGTTTTACAGTAAAACCTCTAATAACTGTCATCCATGGGGGAAACTGAATAGGCTGATGATAGGAATTCCTTTATAAACCCTATTTTTTTGGAAAATTACAATAATGTTAAAAATAAATAACAGTCAACAGTGTACACATGAATTAAACATACAGTATACTCCCGATCATGCAAACCCTGGTTATCCGAGCTATGGGTCAGGGTTATCCTAGGTTGCTAAAGACCTATATATACATTTTTTTAAATCAATAACTAATTTTTTAATTTACTACAGTATTTTCCTGTTTATTGTAAAGTAAAAATTTCATGTCATTATGATTTGTTTAAAAGAATAATTGAAATAACCTTAAGGTATTATTTTAACTTAAGAATGATTCGCAATAACCTAGAAAATAAAAATCACCCAGTACTCAACTTGCTGTCGACCATTGGCAAGCTGGACGTTTCGAAGAGTGACCAGCTAATCAGTTAATTGAGGTTCCACTGTACCTTTTATAACATTTCTTACTTTATTTCTATTCAACTTAGATTTGGAACCTAACCAGTATTTCGTGACAAGAAATAACAACTATCCGTGATTGTAATTAGCTTTTGAGACTCCAAAAATAATAATTAGGTATAAACACTCGACTTAATTTTTAAGAGACTACACACTTTTGAAAACCAAATTTTTAAGAAACCTAATTGTTTTTATCAATTGTGGGAAGAATTTGTGTAGATTATAATAATCTTCTTTCTCTCTTCCTTTACTGTCATAAATATAATTATTGTTTAATGCACTACTTGTTCAACTACTTAGATTTGTCAGATAAACACATCACAAAATATATAATTTGTAAGTCTCTAAAACATTACCAGTAAGGTACCTGAAACACAGGATTTAACTTGTATTTATTACATTAAAAAATTTACATCCGATTTACATTCAGTCAGTTTAATCACATAATATTTTATAATGAAAAGCAATTTTTGTTGTTAAAATACTTGATTAAGAGGTTTGTACGCATGAATGAATATCTATATAGGTTAGAAAATGAAAATTGTATACAACCAGGCTATGTTCGGTTTTAACGTATAATGTATTACCGAAGCTCCTGATGCAGGTAAATACCGTTGCGATATTGAAGCACTATCAAAAAACTTGCCCTCGTCTTAAGATTCACCCCATTTCCTAAAATATGTCATTTCAGTGCCTATTTTTGTGCTTTAGAAACTTTTTTAGTACTTTTGACTCTATCAATACTTAGGAAATCAACTATCCGCATTAGTTGTAGGATAAAGCTTACCAATGTTTAGTTTATAAAGTAGTGTAGATAATCATTCAAACTTTTTATGTAAATCGGATGTTCATCGAAAGTTTATGAATCGATATTTAAGTCAAAAACATTTTGTGAGATTATTTGCCTTAAACATCAATTTTATAATGCATGACAATTGGTTGCCATTTTGACCACGGTTTTTTCTTTCCAGAATCTTAAGTGCTATCTAATTTTGTAAAGACTTTTTGAGTTTTGAGTAAGCCAGTTTTTTGGAACTTATGGTAAATCTTTTTTATACACTGTGATATTAAGATCTAGTTTTACTATGGTGGAATTGATTTTGATGTGGTCCAGTAAAACAGCATTTATTTTTATTTTTTATTTTCATAATACATTTTTTCATTTACATAAGCTCCACTAACAGCCTGGGCTATGGGAACTGATACAGAAAGTAAAAAAGGCAATCAACACAAAACTTATTGTACAATTGATGGGTTGTTGCCTTATTAGTGTTTTTACTAGTTTTTCGCTTAGTCAATATTTTCTCTTTGAAATGCCAGTAATATTTTAGCTTTGAAATAATTTTTAATCACTACTTTTGAATAAAGTGCAAATAATATACTGAAATGCCAAAGGGTATTTTCTTTAGTACAAAAATATAAATGTAAAATAGAATGTTGATATTTTCAAATAGTCGATACTTTGTGAATTTATTTTTATCCCTGTCCCGTAATTATCCTAAAATGAACCTTGAATCTGCCTTATAATTTCTTGACAAAACAAAAAATCTATTTTTAGTCTTATAGTAGTTATCTCCAATGATCCATATATAAATAAATATAATGATAAAGTATATGAACAGGTTTGCAACATTTTAATGCTCTTTGACTTTGTTAAACCTAATGGTATGTTTCTTTCTAGATCGTCTTTAGATTATTTCTTTGTTGTAAGTGCTTAATTATTTATATTGCATTCCTCTTTGCCTTATGTTAGAAACCTTGAGTATTTTGTTAATGTTAGTGTATACGTAATAACTCCTTGTAATACTAATTTTGGTGTTGTAACCAGGAGTTAAGTGTAAATAAAGAGTGTTGATATTGATAATGAATAATTTTTTCCACCCTTTATTACACTGAAAAATGATGTTATAGGTACCCATATTTATTGACCTATTGGTGGATTTTTTAAATGAATGATTTTTTATGAATGAACGGAAAGATCTTGATAAAAAACCGACCAAAACCTCACTTTGGTTCATGATAATTATTTACTTCCACTACCATTGATTTCCAATTCAAAAGGAAAGTTGACTGTTCATTGCTAGTAAAAGCTTCAGACAATATAATAGTTAAGAATTGAAATGGCAAAATATTCAATTTGTTTTTGTAACTATCTACTGTACTTAACTAGTTTAATTTGTCAATTTGAACGCTTGTTCTTATTTGACAAATTAAAAAGGATATACTTTTTGCATCATGAAAATGTATTTGAATTATTATACTACTAAAACTAATGGTTAAATATCTTAAATCTATAACTAAAAATTTACAAACAAAATAAATTTAGGCCCCTACCCATTTCACTCCTAATTGAACACTGTAGCCTATATGAAACTTTTACTTGCGATGGATTGGTATTGAAATTAGGTATGATCTTTGGTTGAATGGTTTATAACTTTATTTTACAGGAGACATCGTCAAGGGGGGGATTTGGTCAAGGGTTCGATCCTGTCTAAGTGTGTTGATGAGTCGGTGGCTCAGTTTAGTATCACGGACTTCAAGCCCAAGGCAGCGATGTCGTGGGTTCGGATCCTGGTTACTGCCGCAAACATTTTATCAGTACAGTTCACCTTAGTACTGTACCAGCTCATCCCCTTGCTTTGCTGGATACGTTCCACGCACAGATCTGTAGTCTATGTAGACAGGCAAATGCAAGGTTAAAAGAGGCCGCCAACCTCTTAAAAAAAGTCAAGATTGGTAAGTAGCCTATGAGGAGGTAATGATATAAACCATAAGGTTGGTGATGACCACCTATAGTCTGTATGATGGTACCTGTCCACCTTGGGGGTACTTGCTAATGGTTATATGGTTACCAAACGAGCCGGGTAGTTGGAGGATCAGGAGACAGGTTTCTTTAAACAGACTGTCATTAGATTAATTATTAAATAATTGTACTGAAATAGTGAAAGGTTGTGTATTTCTATTTGAACAAAACCCCAATCAAAATCTAAAACAATAACTCAAAACATATGTTGAACAATTACCATATGTTATCATTATAACTACTACTGTCACATACTATAGTGGATTACATGTGTTGTTTGTCTGAACTTATTCCGTTATTATTACGAACTTTCCCCAACACAAACTTGAATAATGTTCAATGCTTTTCACTGTTTATGTGACAATGTGTTTTGTATTTTATTTTAACTGTAATTATCCAACAAATGGTGTCCTGGCAAATATTGATGACACATTTTTAAATGGTAGGCCTACTTTAAAATAAACATAGTCCCTAATTGTTCTATCTGAATCTTATAGTTAAGTTTATAAATTAATTACACGAATTACAGTATTAATAATATCTTAAAAATAAGGAACTTTATGTCTGCTGGTATGACGACAAAGAAAAAGATTGAAGAAAACATTCCTACAGAAAATATTCCCCATTACTTCATGAACGCTCCTTTTCAATTTTACTGACAATTACTTATAAATTATAGGTTTATAATTGACTTGATCTCATAGTAAACTTTTAGATGGATCAAATGTACCGATTCCATACAGGATGGAACCTTTTAAATGTAATAAACTATTGAATGTAAATTTGAACGAGTGTCAGAGTGCAATTTTTCGACAGTTTTATTTATGTGGTGCCTGGCAGACATGCTGACTCCTCAGACGAACGACCTTGACCTGACCACATGGCTTCTGACGTCACCAAGTCAGCATTGTTGCTGAAGATATTGTCATATGATGAAACCAACGACTGGCTTCAACTTCCAAATGCATGCGAGATTACAGTATTATGTATTATGATTATGTAGTCAGTTACAAACTCCAAACCAGAATAATCGGCAAGTCGAAGGCTAGTTAATCGCTAGTTAGAGATAGTGAAGATAATTAAATTGTATGATACATCAGGTATATTTAGATAAATATTTAGTATACATGGTTGATTTACAGTTTTTAATGAGTAAGTTCAGCCAAGTAAATTTTTGTTCCATTTGCTTTTTCGCACACTCTGAAGGGCTTCGGACACCCGCACCTCCACCCACTGAAGAAACAATCCCTCTAGGGTACATTATTAAAAATGGGACTCCATTGCCATTTGAGGAAACTTGAGATAACTTGTCCCTTGAACCACTACTGATAAAGGTAGATAAGGTTTACTAGGCAAAACTCTCCAGTTGTGAAGTTTTTACAACCGTTAAGTGGTTCCATTTTTGTAATAGGCCTAAAGCAAATTTTTTAGTTCAAAACCCTATCCAACGCAAAGTAGGAGTAGGCCTACAGAATAATTATTAACATAAAAAACGAACTGTCCATAATTTTCCTACGGATTTTAAGCTACATTTAGTCCCTCGTTTGCTCCGTTTCTTGGTTGCAAAAGTAATAGAGTTGCGATATGACGAAATCAGCTACTTAGAAAAGAGAATAGAATAAGATCTCTTCTTACTCTGATAGATATTTCTACAGAAATAAGGCAATATTTGACTTAATAGGCCATCCAAGGGTCTTATAAATATTGAATTGAATGTTCACAAATTAATATAGGCTAAATTTGATTTTTTGGTTTTTCAAACTTCACAAAAACGCTCGTTCGTTTTTGATTAAAATTGGGTATGCTATGGCCGTTCAACTGCAAACAAAATATGATCAACTCCCTATAGTGTAAGAACCGTAATTCTTACACAGTAATAATTACGGTTCAAAGGCTACCAATGTAATTTTTTGTGAATTTCCCTACATCAGTTACTCCCAGAACACCCACCTATTTTCTTTTTTTTATATAAGGGTTGTTGACAAGCTAATGGGAGAAAGTATGTGTCAGTTTCTGGTTCTGATACAGTTTATTTAATACTGTACAAGTTGTTGGTTGAAAAACGTGTAATGCGTTAATGTATTTATTTCTAGGCACGAGATTCATTTGAAGTGCAGATTGCTTATTTATAACAAGTTACAATTCCAACACGCTACCAGGCATAGTAATTTAGATCTGTAGAAAAACACAACAAAATTATAATATGTATATATTATTCATGGACATGAGTTAGAATCTTGAATAACATGACCTCTATATTACATAACCTTTTCAAAACGATTCGGTGAATCACTCCCACGGTTAAAATACGAGGGAATAAATATTTTTCTTTTTAATATGAGACAAATTTGTTTGTCTTATTTATCGACAACGATAGACACGGTTTATATGGCTAATCAAATATTAATTTTTGATATCGCCCGTGAGAAAGTCTACAGATAGTACATAATATTAGTGTGGATTACGGTAAACTATGTTTCATAAAATCCATTATCACTATTTTGGGACATCATACCATCCTTATAATAATACGGGAAGGCGATTTATACGAAACACCACTCCTCCGTTAATAATGGACAGATTTTTACAAACGATGTCACAAAAGTAAGTATTTTTTTGTGAAGATATCCCCTTTCACCAATTCCTGTAATAGAAGTCCTCAGGCTTTGCCCCACAGGCCATCAAAAAACCCAAATGTATTTCTTATGAAGAAAAGATTATCTTTACTTAAACAGACGAATAATTTGTATTAGGTAACAAATTGCATACTAAATCAGCTGTTGGTAAACACATGATACACAAGAGCGTTTGTTTTCATTCACGATAACTGGAGTGGAGTTATTGATTATATTATCTTTGAGTTGACACTTTTAAGTCATCGGAAGTTATGACTGATATTTGTTTTGAAATACTTTGCAATTGCTCGAATTCGAGCAACATGTGCACTAGTAATGATAAATAGGTGCGTACTTTGGACTAAATGCGAACGCAATATTGTAGAATGGAGTGAGATTATCTGGGTAACATCAGTTTCCCTAAATATCAGATGTTTCTTGAGCCATAAACATTTAAGTCCAATGATCAAAAACAGCTGGGCCCAGTTTCGAACCCTCTAAATAGCTATCGGCCTTACTCGTGAACAAACTGGTGACCTTTTTGATTGACAGTTGAGCACTACTCACCACTCATATACTTATCTATATTATTTATTTTAAACATATAATGCACAAAGCAGTTATGATTCGATCAATGTCAGTAGCCTGATTAAAATGAGTTTATTTTATTTCATAAAGACAATTTTTCATGGTAAAATGGAACCTCTTACATTTTGTTGTATCATACGAATATAAGAAGCATAACGATATCACAATTATTTGCAAAATGTTGAAAGCTTTAAACGCTGATTTTTCGATGAACATAGGCCCAAATGGGAAAGGTGTAGGAAACAAGTTGTTTACACTAATGCAATCTATCTTACTGCTTCAGCAGGTGAAATTTCCTTTTGAGCTTAGCTAACTATAGGTCGGCCGCTTAGAAAACGACCTCCTCCAGCATTGGTTTAGCATTAGCGCGCAGGTCGTTTTCTAAGCGGCCGAACTATAGTTCAAATTGCAGAATGATAAATTACTTAAACTAGATTTATATGAAAAAATAAAACCGTCACTACTTTTGCTTAATGTTACTTAATGTACAGTATTATCGGTGCAACCTTTTGAGAAATGCCTATCGTTAAACATCGGTTCGAGCTGGGTAAATAGTTATATATAGTGCTCGCCTGCCAGTCAGAAGGCCACTGGTTCGATTCTTAGAATGACCAGGCTTTTTGATGGCTTAAAAATAATCCCAGCTGTAATTAATAATTGTCTTTTTATAAATGATCCTAGCTAAAATAAACGGGTTCCACTGTTAGACCGACATGCCACTTGTTCGTCAAGCCAGTTGACCGACATTTTATGACATTTGTCGACCAAATGACATGTCGGTCAAATGGCAGGCACTCACACCATATGTAACAACCATGCTTCTCAGATTACCCTCTCTATTCCACACCCAATATAGCTTAAAACATGAACATAATTACGTCACTGACAGTAAAGTGATTAATCCGAATTCTTGTACTAAAAACCTCTTCTCTTAAATTACAAAGTACCTGTGCCATTTAAGCACAACAAAGCACTATCAAGTCCGTTAGATGAGTCGCACCTTATCAGTTCAAAGGTTGGCACGCGCGTGAGATTAGGCGCTTTTCAGGTGGACGAAGTCCCTTGTCACAAGCTATAAACAAAGAAACCGACAAGTAAATATACGGGATATCAGCTGTATCGTCGTTCACATTGCATTGTCGTGGCTTCCGAGCAACATCACAGCATGGAGGCAGGTATGTAAAGATATTTTTTTAAGTTTTAAACCTTATTATCTGCTAAATTGGAAGCAAAGTTTTATTTTAAGACTGGGGAAGATGATAATTTTTACGATAACATGCATGTATTTGTTCGATAACATGCATATGGTTCTATTTGGGTTTGTGATAACCTGTGCGGAGTTTTTAAAGAAAATATTTGTCTATAGGTTTACTAGCTTCAAAATATAATTGCACCGATTTCGGAAGAATTGATTTATCTAATTTCATTACACTTATAACGAGGTACGATTAAAGTAGTATAGGTAATTTAGCCAAAATGGCTGAAATTTTATCTTGATTGTAAAATGAAGTCTTCATCAAAGTTTGGAAGAAGAATGTAATTTAATGATTTTGTTCCTTAAAATCAAAGAACCAACCCTAAAGTGAAAGATTCTTGGGGTTTAGAATGTAATAAAATTGAAAAATATTATAAAAAAAAACTATTATCTGGGGAGGTATTATTTTGAATAACTTCTTGATCAGCATCACGTTATTAAATTACCTGAAAAACAAATAAAAAGATATACGTCTAATAACACTAGTATTAATATATTTACATTTATACTGTTGACTCACAAGACGGTAATTACATATGAAAGATGGTAAGTGGTGATCGATTTCGATTGGACACTCCAATCATCATCAAACCCAATAGGCACTTACCATTTATGAATTGAACTCGAACCTTTATGATGGTTGAAATTATCAACATTTTATGTGAACTAAATACTACATAATAAAACAATTTACCAAGTCTTAAATGTTTTTAATAGTTCAAATATTTAAATACTCAACGTTATTTTTATTTAATATGTGTAAAAATACTTCGAAATACGTAATCAATCATGACAAATATTATTATTGACTGACATTACATATCTTATCTTTTACCATGGTAAAAAACTTGTAGATTTTTAGATCAACTGAGCAGCTATTGTTGATTGTAAAAAAAACCTGTTTCCCAACTCTTTTGACCTCAAAGATAATCGTCAAACTTTATCACGATTATGCGCATCGGATCATTTTATGACGTAAACATGAGACAATGAGTGTAATCATTTTTTGATTAGTTTTTTTAAATTACCTTTCTACTTAATTAATATACTTCTCCCAAAAGGTTTAGTTTCTATAAAGACGATTTGTGAATTCAATTTAGTAGGGGATATCCTTAAAGCTAGAGTCGTGTTATGGAAAATAGTGTTAGTAGAGTTATTCAAGAGATTTCTTCCACGTCTCTCCCAAAATTAACAGTTTTGCCCTAAATTTATCACAGTTGCCTAAACTTGATATAAGTTTACTTATCTACACGCACTTGCTTTTATGACGTAAATTTCGGACGTTGACCAACGACGCATTTCTAGATCTTTTTTTAGGACAACAAAACAAAAATGGTCTGGTTTTTGATAAGCTATAGCAGCACAAAATTTCGTTATGTCTCAAAGTTTGTTTCTCTACAAATTTTAGAAAGGTTCATATTTTCAAAAGAACTTTTTAACCCTGTTGTTATTTTGGATAGTTTTTAGATTAAATTATTCCTAGATTTAAGTCCAAAAATACTAATTTAAACTAGATGTTATTGATTAATTTAATCTACATGGCTTACAGTACTTGTTGTCCATAGTTGGGTGCTACCTTTTTGAAACAATATCTATATGTTAATAGGCAAGCATGTTTCTTTAAACAATACAATATAAAGAAACCTAGGTATTTTTTGTATGAATGTTAAAAAAAAATATTTGCACAGTCAAAACAATGGCTAATACAATGCCCCTTTCAAGTCAATGAAACTTTTTACTACGAAATGATAATGGCGTCTTTGTCTGTTATCTTAAAACTCGCCAAAAGAAAAATTAAAACAAAAAATCTTAGATAAGTACTAAAAGTCTAATGACCTTACGAGCCAAAAGGAGATTTTCATTTGTTTTCGAATGTTACTCGTGAATGCCTTTATTGATTTACCTAATTTCCTATCCTGTGTTCAAGCGCATGATTAGCATAATCTGTTACTGAAATTAATTGTTGAGACGCAATCATAATTTTATATGGGGTGTGTCAGAACTGTCTACCAATATGTTACCATCTGTTTCTAGGTTAAAATCCATTGCTAATTTCAGAATATCACAAACAAATTTTACGAAAGTCTCAAACCATTTGCAGAATCGCCATTTTGTCTTTCCAAATAGTATCATGCTTGGTATCTACTAAATAATGTTCTCGATACTTCTTTACAAAACCTGTTGTCTCAGGATAATCAAGATTCTTATAGTAGTAATATTCATAAGAATCCCTAGCTTAAAAACTATAAGTAATTCCAGGTTACTTCTTAATAAATGATTCGAATTTTTAAAAGGTAAACGTTAAAAGTTGACAAAACTAGGGCATATACCTTAGAAAATGCAGTGATAAGTATTTGTCATCATTGATGTTGCTATCTAACAAAAGTTATTGATTGTTCAGTCACTAGACCAAGGTTTGGACAACCCTCTTACAAAATTGAAATACCCCCGTTGCCGCAAATCTGCAGACTAAGTGAATTTCTATTTAACTAGCTGGATTTCTACAAAAATATCCTCTGAGAGTGGTCAGATTTTTTCCTATTTAAATAAGATAAATTTTAATGAGTACATAGGTTTGCTGCTACAGGTTATTGAGATGTGTTTTTTTTTATTTAAATGTTGATAATTAGCCTAGTATGAAATAATCAAAATTGCCCAATTTGATAAAAATATATCCATAAACAAGCAAACTACAACAGTTTATTCATTCTCGTTTCGGGATCTGGAATCCGACCCCGTCATCCGGTGAAAAATTATCTAAACAAATATTAGGTACAAGAAAAGTACACAACTCCAACCAAAGCTGGGGAAATCAATAAAAGCCACCCACAAACCAGTCAAATACAGATAGAACAAACATAAAACCTTAAAAGTCCTTAAATTGAACCCTTAAACAAAACACTATGATATGTGGGTCAATGATACAATGTGTTCTATTTAAAAAAAAATAGTCCAAAATACCAAGCGCTTATTAATTTACTTATCACCTAAAATTATGCTGGATTTAAGTTACAAGCCGGGTAAACAAACATATTGCACACTCTGAAATCATGCAATTTCAAGAAACTTAACAAAAATCCCTGTGTAAACAAACGGGTGCTTATCAGTCTGCTGATAAGCTATAAGACGATGCTGCGAAGCGTCGCGGTCAGTCGGTCTGTATCTCCCGGACTCTCACCATGTCTCCCCGCCCTCTAGCCCCCTTGGACAACAACTCCGACATGAGGATGAGGTGTGCTGCAAACATGTCGGGGGTGGACCCTAGGTTCCGGATACAGACGGAGCCGCTGGACCAGGAGGGACAGAGGGTAGCGGAACTACAGCTGCGCGAGACCCCGGCCAGGGTGCGCGAGGCTACAGAGCAGCTCAGGAGTCTGATGAGAGGTTAGTCGAACAGAGAGTAATACAGTAATGTAGTAAAAGTTCCTAGAAAAAATTATCTGCAGTGTTTAAATTTCAACCACAGTAACTTGACTAAATATATTTACCTAAAAAAATCTTGTAACAACAGTAGTGGAAAAACTCCCCCGCTTCCATTATAAGATTACCGTAATCTGCAGGGTGTTCTAAAAATCGTAGAGTGCTAGGCCTACTCTTGATTGAATTTGACACAACAAATAAGATCAAAATCGACATTTTTTAGATTTTGGATTAGGTAAGTACCTAATTCTATCCATAGTCAATGTTTTATCCAACTGTTTTCCTGTTTCCATTACTAGTACATTCCCATAATCTGCAGGGTGTCCCCTACAGTTCAGCAACATAAGACAAAGATCAAAATGTAAAAATAAGTCGAAAAAGTTAGGTAAAATTCGTTTTATTTCGGATTAATTTAGCTAATCCGCCACTTTGTATTAAGATAATTTAGGAACCCTATAAGGATGTTTATACACTTGGCAAAAATAGTAATGTAGATATTTGGGTGCGTACAAATTACTACAAAAATATTCTTCAAACTAATGTTTTTGTTTATATTTTGAAAGACCTGAACATATTTTAAAGCTCAGGAAAATCCGGATAAAAGTGACTAATCATTTGTAGGCTATATGTCAGTTATTAAATAACGTAAAAAATTACGCAATTCAGTAAAAAAATAAAAACTACTGAGCTACGTTAAACAATTCGTAAAAATCACAGAAGAATTTTCATTTTTGATCGTTTTAAGAGATAGAATGTAGGTTTGTTACTGACTAAGATCAGCTGTTTACCACGTAAACATAGTCTTACAAAAAAGAACCTCGTGGCATTATTAAAGTGTTTGTCAAGTTGAAATAAACTGTAAAATATTCACAAAGATCCAACCTATGCCATGGATGAACTGAAACTTCGTAATTGTTTCTTTAAGTATTTACAAAATCATTTTGAAAATCAATAAATTAGTCTTTTCACATGTGGTTTTAACTTCTAAATAATGGCATAGACAAATAGAATAATAATAGTAAACATAAATTTATCCCCATCCATTGCAAACTCTGATATGTTAAGAGCACAAAAAGCTCACAATCATTGGAAATAAATTAGTTTTAGAAAGTTGAAAGCTTGTACCGTAGAGGCATGTTTAGCCGCCATCTTGAACTGAACGGGTAGAACCCTCTAAAGAATACGAATTTTAATAAATCACTGCGTTATTATATGGCAACACATCCAGCAGATTATAGGAGTGTAGTAATGGAAGCGGTAAGTGGGTAAGAAAGAAAGTGCGTCAGGGTAGATGTCCTTTTCCAGGTGACTTGAGCAATAAAGATATATGTTGTAAAGAAAATGTTTTCTGGAAAATTTGTAGAGATAAATAGGTTTATAATAGGTCAAGTTTAAAATTATTAAAATTAACATAGCAAAACTTTTATTTTCATAGATTTAATTTACACACAAAGATTACAAATGAATGAAATTCAATGAATAAGTCAAAAATAAGCTACAGCCCCTTAGCTTTACGAAAAAAATTGCTGAGCTGTTTAAAACTACAACTTCATACCAAGTTTTATAAAAGAGGAGTTTTTCAATAACGACAGAATTACTGAATTAATAAGATTTAACACTTTAAAGTCCTTATCCTTATATATAATACGTGAAGGCGATTTCTATGAAACACTACTCATCCGTTAATAATGGACGGATTTTTACAAACGAGGTGTCAAAATGAAGTATGTTTTGTGTAGACGCCCCCTTTCACCAATTTCTGTAATAAAAGTCTTCGGGCTTCGCCCCACAGGCCATCAAAACCCCAATGTATTTCTTATGAAGAAAAGACTTTGTTTACTTAAACAGACGAATAATTGGTATTACTTACAGCTGTTTATAGTAAACACATGATACACACAAGAGCGTTCGTTTTCAGAGTGAGTTCGTTTTCAGAGTGAGTTCGTTTCCAGAGTGAGTTCGTTTCCAGAGTGAGTTCGTTTTCAGTGTCAATAACTGGAGTAGAGTGATTGATCACATCATCTTGTAGTTGACTCTTTTAAGTAATCGGAAATTGTGACTGTGCAATTACTCGAATTCTATCACCAGGTGCACTAGTAGTTATTATTAGATGTATTTTTTTGTTCTAAATAAATTAAGTTAAAGTCTACTCTGTTGTTTTGAAACAATTAGTGTGTGGCTAGTATTTTCTTAAAATAAGCATTTAAAACTTTTAAATTGTCACTTAACACAGATTGATATTTAAATCAATGACAAATTGTTTTCTTTCGTAACAAAAGAAACAAAATCAAGAAGCAATTGCGCGCTTGGTTGATCCAAGGAGTGACCCAGAACTTTGTTTGCGACACCATTGTTTTCATCAAGAGTTCAACTTATTTATGTCTAAACCTTTGCGCCCGATAAGTCATAAACAGCTGATTTATAACCACAACAATAGACAAGACTCACTGAATTGATTTGGCTTTATCTAATTGAAAACTGCTTACTCGAGTTGATTAATGGGTTTAATAATTAAAAAAACTTGGTCGACCTTCTGTTTTTCTTCTATATTATTAGATATAATGTTTAACATTTAATTGATAGGGTTTAGTATATTTTTCAATTTAGCTAGGTACCGGTATGTTCTGACAGCTCAGTTTAGTCAATAAAAAGAAATGTGTGAAATTGGCTGATTTTTAAACCATAGCTATTTCTCAGATGTATGGTAAATAAACATACCTATCACGTTAGTGTTTAAATGTTCTGTTATATTGACTGCATCTAAAAATAAATAGCCTTTATTTTATTAATCTTTGGTACATTTCTAATGCACTATGGCTGATTTTGATCTACGATTTTACACTTATTAAATATGTTAATTGTTTCATACCTGAATAAAAATATTTTGTTGAAATTGGCCCAACTTTTATAACTTTTAAACAATATCTATTTCTCAGATGTTGTTTGGTAAATAAATATATAGGGTATAAACTTTGTATTATATTGGCTGCATGTAAAATAAAATATCCTATAGTAAATATCTATGGTTGAATTTTGATTAACGATTTTACTTTTAGATTTATTTCAACTGTTTCAGAGGAAGGCAACCTGAATTTCAGAGACGACGATGAAATTCTCCTCATCTTCCTCAGGCCGACCAAGTTTTATCCTGAAAGTGCGCTTGCTTTGGTAAATATTTACATGCTTGGTTACAGGCCTCTGATTATTTATTAAGGCATGATCTTGCATTCCAAACAACTCCCATAAAATTACATTTAAAACAAACTAGCTGTTTACCCACGAGCTTTGCCCCGTTTGACTTCATAAGTATTAATAAAACTATGGGATGGTTAAGTTAAGCTGAAATAAACATAACAGAATACAGTAATACAAACAAATAATCATTCCTGATTTTAATAAGTTAACAATTGAAAGAATAACAAAACATAAGTATATCTGAGGTATTTTTAACATTAGGTATATGAAAAGTTTCCTTTAGAAAGAAATTACGACCTTAAAAGGCAATTTATGAAGTAATGGATAGTTTTGCACAAGGTTTCTCGCAACGAACATTTTAAGTATATGGTTTATCGGGCGTGACTTGTAGTTTTCTCAAAAGTGCATGGGTACTTTGTGATTTATATATGGATAACCTGTAAGTAAAGAGGAAATATCAACAAAATTAAGTGATGCTGAACGTAAACAGGCAATAATATTGTCTTTAGCTAATCCTTAAGAGTGGTGGTACATCTTGAAGGGAAGTTGTTTAATGTGTATGTTATAAATGGAAGGTGGGTTAGTTATACCATAGATAAAACATACTCATTGTGTTGGTAGTCTAAGGTTATACTTGTTCTGTTCTGCTCATAACCAAACAATCAGTTTCAACCACATCTTGTCTGTTATCAGATGAAGAGGGTGGCGCAGTTCAAGGAGAAGAACTCAAACATTCTGTCCGAACTCTCGTCGTCCTCCGAGAGGGAAGCTCTACAGAAGTCTAGGGTAGTGAACGTCCTGACTGACCGAGACCATCTGGGGAGGAGGATACTGGTGGCCAACGTAGGAGGTGAGCACATCATGCAGGAGTAACGTTGTATCATAAACTAATTGAAAAAGTATATTTCACCACTAGGGCGTAAAGTGACACTTTTCGACCCGAGTTCCCGTTTCATGACCAATACAAACAGGTTGAAAAGACACTTTTTCCCTGTGTATGTATATTTTTCGTCTTATTGCTAAGACAGAAAACGAAAATACTTTTCATGCAAGGATAACCTCTCAAAACAACCTCCAATTTGTTTTCAATTTTGCGAATAATCAGCTGTTTAATAAGTGATATACGCTGTTTACAATCATCACTAATGCTAGAATATTTAAAATCAATGAACAGTTTCTTCTCTTGTTTATTATCTGACTGTGATTAAACATTCAACTAAAGTATCACCTGTTAAATTTACAGTTCACATTAAAACCTGTATAAAGAAAGTTTGGCAGCATCACTGGATCTTTAAAAGTGAACCCTAGAAATAAAATTAACGCTAGGGGGGTGAAGCCCTGAATGCAATCTTTTTTACTCACCATTCATCACTCTACTAGATCATAAGCTTTAAAATGACACCTAAATCGTAAAAATTGGTTTAGTACGACAAAAAAGGGGAGTAACAGAGAAACTCCTTGTATCAAGTAAATGTATTAAGACCAGTTTTGAACAAAAAGTTTGTTAATTTAATCTCATGGTTACAATGATTGTTTCCGGGCTACACGCACTGACCCTCTAATAATAATTAATTCTCGGTATAGATACAGCTGACACCCAATAAACCAATTATATATGGAGTAGTTTAGTTGCTAATTCTGGGAACATCACTTTCATAACATCTTTGTTAGACAAAGGGGCTCCTAGCCAAGGTCAAATACGAGACCTCCGTTATCAATCAAACTTTGGTTTTTCAAATTGTGTGGAATCGATGGCTGAACGTTCTCACTTTGTTCCCTTATCCGTAGGATATCTGGTGAACTTGGACTTGGCCTGTAGGAAATGCATAAATCAACGTGTTATCAATTGAATCGTTAATTAAATTAATGCGTCGCGTCGCAGTAATTGATTTATCAAAGAAAGGTTGCATTCACTGAGTTAGACTGTGATCTTTGTGGGTGCAGATATTTGCACTTTGGTGTAAAAGTACAGTTTTGAAATAAAATAAAATCTCGATGTGTGTTTTCGAAGGTTATTTACGTGAAATTTTAACAAAATGTTATGTAAAATAGAAATTACTGTAGTATGGAAAAATTTTAGAGTGGATATTAAAATTGTAAGAAATCTACGTACTAAATATTATTTTGAGTTTAATGCATGGGTAAATTAATCCATGGTTCTATTATACTATACCTGTGCACAATTTTTAGATATAGCTGTATGATAGCGAAAATTAAAAATACCAGTGTGGCGTGAATATTATTTCAACTACTGTATACTAACACATGCCTGTTGAGGGAAATACAGCCTACCAACTTTCCAACATCATCACAATTGACTCATTGGTAATTGCCCTTATCGTCTGTCATTACAAAATGAAATTCAAATACTAAGTATGAATTCAATAAAAAATCTCTAGTATCTAATTTATGTACGGACAGCCACAGGCGTTTCAAATGCTAGCTTTAGCATGGAGTATAGGTTCTGTATGGTACTCTAAATGGACGGTAAAAGACCGTCAGCTGTGCTGCGGTTCCTATAGGTTCTGGCGCACACCGTTGGGAGCGCCATGAAGTTACGGCCTAGCGCTACGTAATTATACGGCTCCCAGTGGTGTGCGCCAGAACCTATGGTAACCACTGCACGGTGGTAAAACCTAACTCAATGAAAGCGACATTTAACCCTTTTAACAAATGTAAATTACTTAGCGGGTTATCTAGTCAATAGTGTAAAGTTGAAATGTTTCTCCTTAGCTGCCTGGGACACGAACATCCTGAGCTCCGACGCGCTGTTCCGTCTGTTCTACATGATCCATCTGGCAGCCATCTTGGAGCCCGAGACACAAGTTCGAGGGGTCGTAGTCATCTTGGACTTTGAGAACTTGGGGATGAAGCAGATTGCAGCGATGAGCCCATCATTCTCATACAACCTGCTGACTTTCATACAGGTATTGTAAATTTCAACGTAAAATATTATAATTTTAATTTATTCTGAGATTAGTGTTATAATCTTTACTAGGCTACACAGGGTCTTCTATACATTGTGAATAACTCCACTTTTATCGAAACCTTAGTGAAATTACCTTTCCCTACAATTGAGCAACCCTCTCTCTTTTAAGTTATGAAATGTTGGTTAACCATTAAGAAACACTTACATCAAGCTCGTATGATATAAAAGTACAAGCTGGTATATTACTGGTTGGTTTTGATTTTTAAATACAAACTCCTATTTAGGGGTGGATGAGTTGATGATGAAATTCAAAATCATGTTAAAAAGTGCGTGACATCACCCTGGTCACGTGTACTGAATGTTATTTGAAAATTTACAGCCATAAAAAGAACAAAAGTGATGGAACGCAAAGTTCCAGTTAAATTAACGTTTAACATTTCTTGTCATAGCTTTTATCGGATTTGCGGCATTAATTTACTTTTTGAAGTTCTTAAAAATGATGTGTTACTTGTGGTTGTCATTTAAATATTTTTAACTACCCCCAGCAACCCCTATTGGGGGCGGGGTGAATTTTAAAATGCTACCAAAAAGTACTTTACATTACCCTGGTAAAGTGTATCAAACCTCGTTTGAATATAAACCAAAATTGGTGCTTGTCCAAACCTTGGGGTGGATTTTGACTCACAGGCAACTTACTGTCACAACTGTACTGTACTTACATAGATACATTTAGTTTCCACCCTACTACCATTGACTATTGGATACAGAAGTATTAATAGTCAAAGCTACTACCAACTGAGCAAACCGGTCACGTGTGACAGGCACTTGACAAGCATATAATAATTTTACACAAAATTGGTCAACTCTACGCGCAAATGAAGGTGCAATTAGTCATCAAATTTATTTCTAGTGATCAAAAGTTTAGTCAGAGCAAAACCACGTCCCAGTCTAGAACAGTACGACCAGTCATGACTTGACTGCGTGCTTATCAAAGGACTTTGGTCAGTTCGTCAGACGATCGCTGATACAGCTCTGTGTTCATCCACTAGCCAATCTGCGAATGACGTAGCAGGATTTGGCCTAGTTATCGCTATTCAAAATTGAATTATCATCGGGTATCTGCTGATTTTGGGTCGCAATGGTGTCTTTTGGGAGATTTCTTAAATGGAGGTACTAAATTAGACGAATTTTCTCGTTGAAAAAAATCTGCACGGTAAAAAATTCAAGAAACTTTTTTTGTCAATTTGTTGTTTTTGAAAAAAATCATAAAGTAAATTTTAGTTGACATCCAAAACAAACCGTAATAAAAAGAATAAAAAACTTAAAATGAGTGCTTTATGTATAGGCCTACATCGAAATAAAAATGGCTTCATTTCTTTGAAGATCGATATAAAAATGTGGATTGATTAGTATCTTATCATCTGTACCTATTGGCATAGACAAAAAAGAATTAAATATAGCCCGCCAGCCGTGCTGCGGTTACCATAGGTTCTGGCACACACCGCTGGGAGCGCCATCTAGTTACGGCGTACGCGCTACGTTCTTTTTGTCTATACTATTGGTAACTTGGACAACGTAACCCGTTTAGATTTCTGATCTCAGCCCCTAATAGGCGTAGATTAACAGTAAAACATAGGTACTGAACTGTATCTAAGTAAAAAAAATGGTTTTTTTTTTAACTATCACAGTCTTAAGTCTTTTTTTGTAAAGATTTTGATTAAATATTTACCGCTCTCAAGTACAACAAATATGTGTTTCTGGTCGTTGATCGAGAAAAAAATTGAAGGTAACACGTTGTAATGTATTTATAATAGGTTTTTCATTAATAGTTGTTCGCCGGTTACCGTGACAATATTAGTTAGCTTAAGTTAATTTTCTTCCCTATTATCAAATATTTTTTTGTAATTATATACTGAAGAGTATGCGAACATTTATTTTAAAATATCAACCATACAAACAATATTGATTAAAAGTCGACCCATTCGCTATAAGTCTTGGACAACTCATACCTCTCAAATGATACGTTGTAAGATTTTAAAAGGTTAAAATCGCAAACAATTAATAAACATTGTAAAAATTCTTTAAAATAAAACGGTTCACAATTAAATTGAAAACGAAGTCAAACACGGGTTTAACCAGTACAACTGTAATAACACAAGGTTATCTCGTGTTGGCGCAAAAACTGCGCTCGTAGCGTGAAATTCGCGTAATTAGCACCAAGGGTCGGCGCAAGGCGGGTTATCTAAGGTTCAGACGTCTTTTAAACTCACACAAAGTCTCTGTCGAGCAATTGAGAAATAATCTTAGTGAATACAAAGCTAAAACTATAATTTTACAGGTACGTTTTAGCAGAAACTAATCTATATTCCTTAAAAATTGATTACTATAGTTTTGTGATAAAATATGTAACATGAAACCAGATTTAAGCGTGTAATAAAAAAAATATTTTTCAAGAATTTGCTAAAAACGGGCCTTATTGCTACAAGTATAAACATGCAATGTCAGTGGTATAGAGTTTCAAGCTCGTTAGAAATCGGATGTATAATTTAAATTGCCATATATGGTCTAGAAACTAAAATGAACAAGTTCGTTATCATTTCTCGAAGTTTAAATTACAACTAGATTCTACTGAAGAATCTGATTCTGAACTGTGTCTTATCATATAAAAAAAATTATAGACCATATGTACACTTTGATAATTTAATTGAACAGCTGATTTTACAAATATGTTTTTCTGTTTTTGTTCTTTGTTATTGTTTCGATTTTGTAACCAAATACAATGTTTAGTGCTCTTGAGTTTTCAATATTTAATTAGTGATATTATGAAAAATACTTGGAGTTAAAATGAATACTATCAAGGAGAAAAGTGAATATGAATATTTTAAGATTAGACAGATTTCATTAGGAATAAATCATTAGTTCTGAACACACGCAATATCGAAGTTCAGCTGTTGTAAAAGTTGATGGACGGGAGTTCTGTTCGAAAGTCATGTATTCGAATCCCGTCAATCATTACGTTTTTTAAGCTACATAGCAATTCCATAACGTGGTTCGGTTACCACCCAAAAATATCTATATTTTGGATAAAGCTCTTTTGGAAAATAATCCACTTAAAATAAAATGTCAACTAATTCAAATGTTTTGTTTGTTTGTGGTCAGAATGCGTCACATATTAATTTACATACAACCCTTATCAGATTGTCCGCATTGCTGATAAAAGTTTGTGTACATCAATATTGAATGCATTCCGTCTGATTGTACACGTTCAACACCTTAACTACGCTCAATTAAAGATTATTTTAAATTTATTCTTTGTTTATGGAAGAATGAAATAATCAACGAGTTCGAGTTAGTAAAAGGTTAAAACAAAAGTTTATGCTAACAAATTTTTGATAGCATACTAAATTATTTATTAGGACTTTACAAAGGGGTATGCGTGTAGATGGGGTTAATGTGGTATCATTATTGGCTCATGGAAAATGTGACGTTGCTGGGATAGCCTATCTATTCCAATGACATCATTGAAACAATATATTCTACGCTCATCTGATTGTATTTCTGATTAATTTTACAGGAAGCGATGCCATTGCGTCTAAAAGAGGTGCACATCGTGAAGGAACCATTCTTGTTCAAAGTTGTCTGGAAGCTCTTCAAGCCTTTGGTGAAAGAGAAGCTAAGAAATAGAGTAAGTTACGTCAATTGAATGTAGATTTAAGATCTGAACGCACCCCGAATAGAGATTCTAAACAAATTTAATACTGTGTTTGTCTTCGGAAATATTACAATGGATTCCACACAATTTTCACAAAGGTATAGCTTGTCAGTGGCAAAGATGCAAAGGATTCTTTTGCTGTGTCCGAAAGCTAGAATTCAAGATTAAAATTTCAATTCACAATTAAATTTATGATTGATATTCAATAGACTTGTGTGCCATTTGAACGACATGTAAATTGTTCGACGAGCCAGTTCATCGACATAAAAGGTTTTCGGTCAACTGGCTTGTTTACAAAATGACTTGTCGGTCAAGTAGTCTACACCTTGTGACACGAGTGGAGGCTTTAATTTTATTAAACAATCTTTGATACTTTAGTAATATATTCTAAGTAAAAAAATTAGGTAACTATATTTTGCTGGTGTTTACAATGTACCTCACATGTTCAACGATGTAAACATGAAGCACATTTCAAAACTCCACACTCATAGAACAAATAGCGGAGTGAAAGAAAACAATTTGCTTATCTTTGTGTGCTTTGTGTCTTGCTAAATTAGCTAAAAATAAAACTGAATACAATGAGTCAGTTTTCTGTGTAGTTTCACCGTTTACTCCCAGAAAACCTTGGGTAATACCCGAAAATGAATCACAGTTTTTAATAGAAACTGACATACTAAGACTGAAATAATGGTTTATACTTGCACACTTACTTCTTTTTTAATAGGGATATCAGTAATTTTTTTCAGCTTACATTAGGCTCACGATTCTTTACTAAAATATCATGCCACTAAAAATACCAGATATTATTTTGAATAATTATACCGTCTAAAATTCCTAAGAAGGGTAACATTTTGCCTCCCATGGTTAATAGGCTAATATGCCTTTCGTGTGTATCATAATGCCATAATTTAATTAATTCTATTATAATGACATAGTATTTACCATGTAAACGTAAAAAAACCTGCCAAAATTTTGTTCATTGCAGCTTTTGAAAAACATGGGTAGAAATCTTGCCTTGGTAAACTGTTTTTGTTGCCACATTCTTCTAAAGTGAATTAGTTTCATCGCCATATCGATGTACGAGTCATATTGTATCGTGTGTAGACAAGGATGCTTCTAAAAACTTTAAAAGACACGTGTTAAAATGAAAATAATTACCATTGGCTTGAAGCTATATGGTAATGAATTCCCTCAATGGATCAAATGCCATGGTGTTAATTTGCAGATCCACCTATCTAAAGAAAGGACACTACTAAGGTAAGTACTCCCTTCACTAAAATAATTAACGCGGAATAGAGTACAAGGTCAAAGGTGAACATTTGGCTTTCTGGTTCAAATTTATTTGTATTTTAACTTCACAAGCACTAAATATCATGTTTACTTTACAAAAAATGATTTGATTTAAACATGTATGAATCACTAACGAAAATATTTTTTTTTTCAGTTGTACATGCACGGGTCCAAGATGGCGTCACTTCACAAGCACCTGGAACCCAAGTGTCTGCCAGAGAACTATGGCGGAACTCTGCCAATGATTGACTACAGCAGTGCGGACTGGTATCCTGCATTGGTTGCCATCGAACCACATCTCAGAGGTAAGGGGGGGGGGGGGGGGTTTGGGGGGGTTTAGTTCTTGGGATTTTGGTTTAAGGTATAGATAGTACCATAGATAAAACATACTCCCATAGCATATTTATCATCCTTATGGAACAGCTGAAGCCAATGTTATTGTTAGCTCCGTCCAATGCACTGTAGAGGTCGTGTTTAGTTTACAATTTTTTTCTTGTCATTTAAGTAATTTGCTACCTCGTTTAGCCAAATAAAACGATCTAATAATAAACAATAACTCGTCTCCTTGTTATATTGCCAAACAGTAAGCATAAATCATTAAATGAACCCTAAAATAATATAAACAATATTTCTTCGACACTAGTGAACAGTGTCCCAAATATGAACTAGATACGAAAAACGAGCTTCAAAATTTACAATGATAAGAAGGCTTCTTGTGTTGGTTAGTCGATCATGGTACTTCATAGATTTCCTTAGGAACAGCTTAAAACGTATAGGTTATCTAGAACGAATGAAAGAGGGTGAAAAGAGACTTTTTGCCCGTATGACGAACTATATATTTCAAAATATCTTTCTTTTTTATTTTATCGTGCAAATAAGCAGCTGCTTTTTATAAATGATTTAATTATTTCGTCTATAACGATTGCATTAACTGTAGTGTATATTATCCTATGTCGAACTATTGACTAAAATGCAACAATAAGCTACAACCAATCATTCTAAACACGATTGATTACAATCGAAATTTACAACATTGTTTACAACATCTGACTTTTACTCCCTAGGGACTAAAAAGCCTTGTATAGACTACTTTAGACCCTACTACTTTAGACCCGCAACGTATGTATTAAAAACAGCTGTTTTTGCTGCAGTATGACATTAAAGTTTTGGTTACGCGACGTAATTAATTGTGTTACTTTTAATTAAACAAAAACATCTCAGTGGGGAAATTAGGGGTTTTTTCAGATCCCTAGTCTGTTACCCTACTTATATTCCAAGATATATTTATAGTGAAAAATGTTTTTTCAGAATGGAACTCATTTGGATACAGGAGAAACTAAACTGCCAGATCACATAAATCGTCCTAATGGATCAACCTTCAAAAGAATATTTATAATACTACTCAGAAACATATTGTGATAATGGTTTGTGATCTCTCAAAAAACTAACTATAGTATTTACGCCTATGATTGTTAATTTTTATAATTACTGTAATTTGGTAATTGATAATATTTTTAAAGAAAAGGCATTATTATTCCGTTGATGTCCGTATTATTATAGTGGAGGGGAGAAGATCTGTAATGAAATAGTCAAACATAAATTCTTTGTAAAATTATAGTCTTAGACTTAGTTGATTTTTGAGTGGGTTTGACACCTCGCTTTTCATTGCATTTATTGTTGATTTAGAATTAAGAAAATTGCTTGTTTTATTCAATTTATGATTGATTTATACCAACTACTGTTGTGAGAATAATTAATTTTAGTATTTTTATAAGGTTTAAGATAAAGATAAGTGTAAATATATTTATATACTTAGTTGTGTTGAAAATGCATTTAAAGTTTTAGTAGATATTAGTAACATTAAATTTGATTTTAGATTTATCTATTTAGATCAATTTGACTTAGACTTTTTTAAATTTTCTTTTTAATATTTCAACAATTTTAAGACATTGTAGCTTTCATTAACACCTTATTGTTCCTTTTATAGTTTGATAATCTCGTTGCATGTGACATTTCGAATTTACAATGTGATACTTGGTGTTTTATATGTAAGAGATTAGTTTTATACTATTTGTACTCAGTCAATGTAAAACAATAAAAATAAAATGCACTTAACTACAAAAATTTATTTAATTTATTAGAAGTCATACAAGACATGTATGGGGTAGATATGAACTCTTACCTTAAATACAGACGGACCTTGCTTAGGTTTTGGTGTTCAATAATCATGTGGTTGCTAAAAAATCTTTATATGGCAGTAGTATCTGTAATGAATACAAATTAATCCACTATAAAATAGCTATAAACAATCCTTTAAAACTACACTTATCATTACGAAAAATTAACGATAAACAATGAGTGCTATCACGTGCTACTTAGAACCCAAAAAAACTATCAATAAATTAAGTATTTCCTTTTTCCAAGCGAAATCACATCAAACTTATTAAAAATGTTGTCGAACGGTTGGTTACTTCAATATATTTTTAATTGGGAGTTTCTCATGTTAAAGTTCTGAAACAATTCTAAATTTGATCTACAGTATTTTAAGACAGAATATTTAGTATAATGACATATTTTTCCCTCAATAGGTATGGAATGGAAATGAGTATAGCCAGGGCAGGGTCTATTTAAATTATATACACTAGCAGAGTACCCGTCTTTCACACGGGGTTGATGTATGTTTGGATTTAAAATTGTAAAAAGATATCAAAATAATTCAAGTAATGTACTACTTATAGGATATATTGTACAGTATGTGTTTGGATTTTCATCCACAGGTTAAGTGTATGAGAGGTCCATGTGGCCCTAACTTTGACTGTTTAAATAATCATAATCATATTCATTTTATTTTTTTTATTTTCATTTCATAACTTTAATAATTTTTTACAAAAAAGTTGTTAATACAGCACCTATTACTGTATACACTCTTACTTGATTCCAATAGGCAATAATCAATGAACCATAAAAATATAAATAAAAATACCTGCCACTTGCTTGTATAGAATATAATTTTATGCATATTTGATTTTTATACCAGCTGTGTGTGATTGTGAATTAATTAATGTGCATTTGACAGTTCTGCTTGTTTTCATTGAAATGTCATATCAAAATTTAAACATGGTGAATTCATAGAGACGAATGGATTATAACTGTAGGTGAGTTTTCTCATTCACCAATCAATATTTACTTTTAAACGCCTCACCTCAGATTTTAAAGCCAAAGGGGTGAAGCCCTTGGTCAGTATTGAATAGTCATAATCGCATCCTTGGTAGCTATATTTTTGTAAAATTTAAGCCCAATAGGTTCAGTAGTGTTACGTAATTGAGTAACACACACAGACGGACAACATTCGATTTTTATATAATACAGTAGTATAGATTACTACCGTATCTAGCCAGATGTACCAAAAAGAGGAAACAGTTTTTTACTTTACATTAATTCAACCATCTGCGATACATTATGTACGTATAGATACACATTAGATAAAAGTTATAAACTTGAAAGAATATTATGAAAAATGTTATTGAAATATAAAAGAAAATCGCCAAAGATTTTCGAATACGTAGATATGACAATAACTTCTTTATATCGATCAAAATTTGTGAAACTTAGTTTATAAAGTACTAAACTATTAAAAAAAGTTCCAGTTGATTTTCATTAGTTTCTTAAGATCAAAGCAACTTCAACTGCGTAGAAAGTAGAAATTGGCTGGATCCTTAACCGCAGTGCCAGAAAACACATATTCTGCCTGATACATCTATCAGAATTCATTGAGTTGTTCGTTTCATTGAGAAAAGCGACAAATTAAATAGCTATACAGGGTGTCCCGTAAGTAAGTACAAAGAATTTAGGATTAGTTTTATTGGGTCAAAATAAAACGTAAAATCAAGAATGACATTTTTTTTTCCTGAATGCCTTGTTAGTGAGATATTTGACACTTTGTTTTTGTGTTTAAAATTCATTTCTCAAAAACTATTTAAAATATCTAAAATTTGGTATACAATTAATTGTATCAAGTCATAACATATTTTAAAAATAACCATTACAAGATATGTTTCATTTCAAAATGGTGGCTATATTAGATTTTATAATTAACTAGCTGTTACACGTAGGCATCGCCCCGTTTGACTTCATAAGTATTGTAATAAAACTATAGATTGCCGTACCAGGTTGCGTGGCATTTCGAGTGGCTTTTCATGGTTACTTCAAAGAACAACATTGAAATTAATAAGCTGTCAGTGCAGAGCTCTAGAAGAGTATTAAAATAAACGATGACTATCTCCATTAAGTCTGTGGTTATATTGGCTCTATCCATGAAAAGATTCTGCTCAATTGGTCAAGTAGTTTTCACGTTATTGACATACTCCAAACATTCATTCGATAATATTAGTTCATTCCACCCAAGTCATTGACTTCATCAGTAATGGGCTAAAATTATTAACACGCTACTCCGTTTCCCAGACTCTATTTTTGGGGGAAGACAAACACGATACTTTTTTTATAAATAACTAATAGTTACCTGGCACGCGTTGCTGCGCTTAACAATTATTATTGTAAATGGTAATTTGTTCTTTACGACGAATAATAAGAGTGTGTACCAAAAATAAAAATAGAATATTTTACTTAATTATTATTATGTTTTATGTTTTTTCTATAAGTTTTTAGGCGTACCTACCACCACGTGAGCACGCAACATACAGCTGCCCGTGTGAAAAGCATGCATTTTCAAAATTTAAACCTACGATAGTCAGGGATTGTCCTAGTGCCTTATAATGGCCATTGCGAAAGCAAGACAAAAAAAGCAATTTGTAGTTGCTTAAATTCAGAGGGTAATTCAGATTAAGTCATCAGTATTCTTGGGATTAAGACTATTTCTCCTTTAAACTTACATCTGATAATTTTTGTTTCAATCAATTTTGGTCTCATTTTTTTAATCGTCAGTCTGGTAACGTTGCACAGCTTCGGTGGATTTAAGTTTCGCATTAGTATTATTGGAGTTCCTTCTTTTAATGCCAGTAATGTGGTGGGTAAATGACAAATTGAGAGGCATTTGAATACCTGAGATAGCACGCACGATTATTATTCACTTAATAATTTATGTTAGATTGTGTGGGTATAGAACAAAAGATAAAAATATTAAGGCATTGCCATCCCTTTTATTGTTTATAATACTTTGATCAAGGTTTTCATGTTTACATATTTAACATTGGAGAGACTAATACAGCATGTTGTGGTTATTCAAACCAACAAAACAGTTGGTGAAAGTAAACATCTGCCTTTAAATTATATTTATTTGTAACTATTGTAGTTTAAAAAGTCTGACATTGTCCCACTTAAAACCATCTGGGGCGGAGCCCTTTTGACGGATCTGCACCAGACTTCACACAAACCATCCTTGAAAGATGCTTAATAACTCCTGAAAGTTTCATTACAATCTGTCGAGCAGTTTCGGAGTCCATAACGTTCAAACATATATATATACATACATACAAACTTCCTCTTTTATAAATAGATGGAAAAAAATAAAGTCAATAAGTTGATGAATTATGCACTTGAAAATAAAATTACCCTATTTGCACAATAATACAGCAATTTAGTATTTGATAGTCATCATTGTGTATCACAGCTTTTTGATGAGCTGTTATAATAAATTCAAACAAAAATTTAATAGTGCTGCACCCTGTTGGTAAACCTTGTAACTTTATAATGGTACTGAACATGAGAGAACCAACTTGTTTAATTGAAACAGCTGTTAAGATTCTCCTTAAATATGAAAAATCATAAGGTCAACATGGAAACTAACTGAAACCTACTGGAAACTTACTGGTGGGAGGGGGGGGGGGTGGAGCCCAAAAGTCAGGTCAGAATAAAAACATCCTAGTTTTTCTATTTAATACCTAAAGAATCAGTGTACCAAATTTCAGTAAAGAGAATTAGTGATGAGTGAGTGAGTCAGTCAGTCAGGGCTTTGCATTTCATAGGTATAAGTGTGTTATTAATTTTACGATGAGTAAATAAAAATACGTCTAAAACACTTAAACGTAATTTTACTGTTATTGTACGCATTTATATTTAATCTTCGGACTAAATATAAGTTTCACCCCTTATTGTCTACAGTTGAGACCAATAAAACAGGTCAATGAACAGAACAAAGAAAAGATAAATTGAAAGACTAATAGTGAAGAATTAATCAATTATAAACAAATGATAACTTATCCAAGTCAAGTAGTGCCTACAAGATACGAAACGCTGTCTTCAACACAGAGAAGTGTTGTGGTGTTGCGGAGAATTTTCCAAGCGACTACCTCTACAAAGATCAGCGTTGTATTTTTGTTATCATGACTATATAAAGTATATCATGAATACATGGTATTTGTCCAACTTATGTACGCACACAGCTACCCAACCATTGGCATGACACATTAGAAAACTGATTAACTTGTTTAATCTTGTCTATCTGAATGGCTGAATTTGATTGAAGAGTTTGCGAAAATGATGAATCAATGTTTTAATTGAGAATATATTTGATACAACTACGGGAAAAACAATACTAGTTATAGTAACTTGAGTAAATCGCATGGTTTTTAATGAGTAAAGACAATAATTTAGACCTGTTAGCGAACAATGATTTTAAGAATAGTTAGGCATAACTTTCCCATGGTTCATTCTCGTTTATCTAAATTTATTATACAAATTATAGCTTACTTACCCTTTGCAAGAATTTAGCAAGTAATTTGAAAAAAAATAAGTCCACAAAAAGTAAAGTGCAGGTAAAAATTAAACCTAAACAAATAAAAATAACCAAATAAAATGAGTACAAATAAAATGGGTTTTGTTAATAAGATTGGTTACATTTGGAATATTGGATGTATATTTTTAACTTCTCACCAAGTTTGTGGTTTACTTTAACGTCTAATTAGGTTTAAATTACCACGGGCTTTAGAGAGAGGCTGAACGTAATTTGCAGTATGTTGTTGTTAAGTAACAGTTTTGTCTCTTGTTTTGTACATAAAATGGTTAAATCCCCGAGCGAAGGATGACGAGGATTTTTAAAAATAAACTGTTAGGATTTTTCTGAACAGTTTATTTGATATTAGGTTCATAACCCGTATATTGGTTTATATTAATTACTT